AGGAGAGAGCTCTCCACCGCAAAAAAACAATCCACCCCAACGAGCGGCGGTAGCTCTGTCGGCAGGAGAGAGCTCTCCCACCGACAAAAAACTTCCACCCCAACGAGCGGCGGTAGCTCTGTCGGCAGGAGAGAGCTCTCCCACCGACAAAAAACTTCCACCCCAACGAGCGGTGGTAGCTCTGTCGGCAGGAGAGAGCTCTCCCACCGACAAAAAACTTCCACCCCAACGAGCGGCGGTAGCTCCGTCGGCAGGAGAGCGCTTTTTGTCAGTAAAACTTGTGTCGTTCAGGGGAGGGGAGTGTTTTTTTCACACCCCCGAATGACAAAGGTTTTACTGACGAAAGTCCAGTGTAGACAAAGCCGTAGAATGGAAACCACTCCGTCTCAGAGCTACAGATGGCTTCTGCTCCCATGACAGTCCAGCAACACACAGACAGAGCCAGCTCGCCCCTCAGCCCCTAGGAGCCAGCCTGTCTGCAGGGGCTGGCCTGTGCATTTGCAGTGGGATGATAGTCAGGGTCTTGGGGTGACTCCTTCTGCAGCCTGTCTCCCCAGTGGCGGATTAACAAATTTGCTGCCCCTAGGCCCTGAAAAAATTGCCCCCGCCCTCCCCGCGCGCCAGCTCACCTCCGCTCCCCCGCGGCAAACCTGGGAGGGAGGGGGGAGAAGGGGCTTTGCGGCGCGCTCGGTGGATGGCGGCGGTGGAGCGGAGGTGAGCTGGGGCGGGGAGCGGTTCCCTGCCCGACCCCCAAGGGTTACTCCGCACGCCAACCGGCCCCAGCTCACCTCCGCTCCACCTCCTCCTCTGAGCGCGCCGCTACTCGCTTCTCCTCCTTCCCTCCCAGCACTTTCGCGCAGCAAGCCTCGGAGGGAGGTGGAAGGAGGGAAGCATGGCGTGCCCGGGGGGGAGGCGGGCCGGGGATTTGGGGAAGGGGCGGAGTTGGGGGGGAGTGAGCAAATTTGCCGCCCCCGCAAATTTGCCACCCTAGGCCTTGGCCTAGGCGATAATACACCGCTGTGTCTCCCCAATGTTTCCTAGCACCTGTAGGAGTTGCCTTCCTGAGGACAGGTGCATTCTGGTCCTGGAGGGGCCCAGCCAGGCTCATGACTGCAGGGAGGGGAAGCCGCAGCATGGAGCCAGGTGGGAGAGGGAGGGGTGAGCAGTTGGGAGGGAGGATCTAAGCGGGAGGGAACCTGTTTCCACTGCTCTGAGGGCAAGTGACTAGGCCCCAGCTTAGTAGTGTAGATCAGGGCTCACTTCCATTGGCTTCAACAGGAGCTAGGCACCTGAATCGCATTGAGGAGCTGAACCTAAATGCCTCTAGGCTTTTGGGTTAACAGAGGGGGCTGGAGCGGCACCACTTAGGGACACACACACACACACACACACCCTGTCCCCAGCTCCGTGGGATACAGTTCAGCTGCTGTGACACCAACACAAACTCTTGTGAGATCCCAGCAGCTGTCACAGTGCAAGGGAAGGGCCGTGGCACACAGATGTGCCAACCCCCCTCTCCCCCCAGGCTGTGTTGGGTGAATAACGTCAGCCCAGCATGGATCCTGAGGAAAGGGACCCAGGAATCTGATGGTTTGGCCCCATCACCCAGGGATCCAGGCCCCGCTGGGGCAGGGCAGGGCTGGCATCCCTGGTGCACAGAGCAGGCCATCCTTCCTCTCTGTCTCTCCTACCCGCCATGTCCTGCCCCAAAGGCCAGCTTAGTAGAGCAAATTCCCTGGTGGTTCAGGGCAGGGGGAGGGCAGCCCCTGCAGGGAGCTAAGGGGGGTGGGTGGGGATGATGCAGAGACCTGCAGCCCCAGGATGTCCCACTTTCAGGGCGGTCGCTGCTGTGAAGACACAGACAAAGGGCTCCTCCTGTGTTCTTCTACATGGCAGCCAGCAGCCCTGGTGTCCATATGGGGGGAGGGAGGGGAAGGGGAGAGGTCTACAGGCATATTTCCATTCGAATCCCCTTAGCTCTGACCTGCCTGCACTTCCTGGCCTTGGGCCAAGATTTTCCCAAGTGCCTTGTGGGGCTGGCTGGCTCCCCAACTTGGGCCCTGTAAGGGGCCTGGTTTGCAGGACTCAGGCAGCATCCGCTGGAGCAGCCGGACTGGCTAAGCAAGTCAGCCATTGGGGGTGTGCCCAGAGGGAGGATATTTTGTTTTACAGTGTGAGACTGGAGGATGGGAGTGGGGGTGGGGACCTTGTAGGCCTCCAGCCCCCTGTCGCCTTGGGCTTGATCCAGCCCCACACTGGGGCAGGGGTCGATTTCTGGCTGGAAAGAGGCCTTCAGAGCCGTGGAGCACCTATCGGTTTGATTTGAGAGCAGGGCATCGTTGTGCCCAATTGCTATGCGCCAGGCTGGGGGGTGCCAGGGACCAGCCTTTGGCTGAGGCATGGGCTCCACAGTCCGAGTGCAGGGAAGTTTGCGGCACTGATGTGCACCAAGGGGCAGGCAGGAGGGTGCCCTGTACTGAAGCGACCCAGAGGATCCACTGCTGGGGATTCTCATTCCCCTTTGGGTTGCTTCCCCTTCTCCCTCACGGAGGGGCTCTTCCACGCACCCCCACACTCACAGAGAGTGCCCTCCTCCTGGGAAGGGCCCTTCCAACAACCCCCCATCACAGGGGGTGGCAAAGTCAGAATTGTCTGGAATATTTTTATGCCTGTGTGTGCCTCAGTTTCCCTCTGCACTTTATGTTGCTACCCAGTGGGTGCAAAAGGGTTAAAAGGCTGCTCTTGGGGCAGAGCGGAGCCATGAGGTGTTAGGTCATGTGACGGTCTGGGGTGGAGTGAAGGGGTCCTTTCAGGCCAGCCCATGTCAATGGAGGGTCTGGAAAGTCAAAGGGAGCCCCAACAATTGACACCTACCCATTAGCAGCTTGTGGGCAGAACATGTGAACTCAGCAGGGATCTGCAGCGGGGGACAAGATCTGGCTTTGGGAGAGACACCAAGTTCTCACCAGGGACTGCCAGGGGGAGAGGACCAAAAGTGGAGTCCACGGCTGTTCGGCTGGGTGGCGCGCTGGCTTGGCCAGGATGGACGGTGTCTTAGCCTTTGCTTCTCTGCGCTAACCTGGGGACTTCCCGGCCTGGTTTCAGCCGACTAATAAACCTGACTCAGTTTGAAAATGTCACCTGGTGTTGCTGCACATCCTTGCCAGGGTGTGCTGGGCCCTGCGGAGTTGGCAAGTCTCTGGCCAGGCGTCTTTCTCAGCTGGATACGCCGGGCGGAGCTCACGGGGTGCAGCAGGAGGGCTGGAGCCCAGGGGCTCAGTCTTGGAGGCGGGGAGGCCACGTGGGCTAACCTGAAGGAAGAGCAGGACCCCTCAGGAGTCTGGCCCACTGAAGGGTTCCTCCAAGGAACTGTTTAAAAGCTGGGACGTAACACAGATCCTGTGGATCTGTGGCACAGGGTCCTGAGTGTGGAATCCCAGGCAGGCTGGTTGGCTCCTGTGAAAGCTAGGGCCTGCAGGAAGCCAGGTGCTTCCGGGGAATAGGGTGACCAGATCACAGGGATGAAATATCGGGACGCGGGGGAGGTGGGGGG